CTAAGCACTGAGGATACAAAAAGAAGCAAAAGACAGTTCCTGAGCTTGAGGAGCTCACTATCAAATAGGGGAGACAAACAAACATATATGTACAAATGAGTATCATACAGGATAAATAGGAAATAATTGAGATGGAACACCCTAGAATTCCTGTAGAAAAAGGAATTTTAGTTGAAACTTAATGGCAGCCAAGGAGGTCAGTAGGCAATTCTTGGGAATAGGAGGATGCTGGTCCTATTAACAGCAAATGGGAAGTTGGGGTTGGGGTTGTGGGGTTTAGGAGGAAAGATACCAAGCTCAGTTTTGGTCCCGTTGAGTCGAAGATGCCTAGTGGATGTCCAGTTCAAGATATCTGAAAGGCAAAGCTGGAGGACAGCAGGGAGGTTAGGGCAGGATAGGTAGATTTAAGAATCATCATCACAGAGATGGTAATTAAATCCATGGGAACTGATGAGATCACCAAGTAAAGTTGTATAGAACTAGAAAAGAAGACTCAAGACAGAACCGTGGGACACCTACAGTTAAAGGGCATGACCTAGATGAGAATGTAACAAAGAAAACTAAGGAGTGGTCTGGTAAGTAGAAGAACCAGGAGAGTGGTGTCCTGAAAACCTAGAGGGAAGAAAGTAACAAGAAGAGGTTGATCAACAGTGTCAGAGACTAAAGAGAGGTCTAAAGAAAGAAGGAGGACTGAGAAAAGACCATTGGATTTGGCAATTAAGAGATCACTGACAACTTTAGAAAGTGGTTTCAGTGGAAAGGTAAGATCAGAAGTCATATTGTAAGGGGTTAAGAAGTGACTGAGAAAAGAGAAAATGGAGGCACCTATTGTAGATGGCCTTCTCAAGGAGTTTAGCTACAAAGGATAGAAGAGATATAGAATGACAGATATCAAGGATGGAAGAATCAAATGAAGATTTTTTTTGAGGATAAGAGAGATAGGTATAGTTGTAGGCAATAAGGAAGGAGCCAGTAGAAAGAGATTCAAGATAAATGAGACTGGGAATGTCTGTTGGAGGAGACAGGATGGAATGGTATTACTTCTGCAGGTAGAGGAGTTTGCCTTGGTCAGGAATATGGCTACTTCTTCAGGTAAGACAGAAAAGGAAGAGATAATGGCAGATAACATCTCAGTAATATGATGAAGAGGAAAAGAGGGAGCTCATGGGGAATTTATTCTGCAAAATTCTCAGCTGAGGGAGTTTGGAGAGCGGAAGCCATGGGATATTTGAGAAGGGATGAAAAGATTTAGAAAAACTACGGTAGAGAATGAGATCGTGGGTTGATAAGGAGACTGTATTAGGATTGTCTAATGTCAGTGAGGGTGCAGTTGAGATTGTGTAACATAAATCTGTAGTGGGCCCAGTAAGAATGGTTGTGTGATTTTCTCCTCCTTAGCTCATCAGCACAGGTGCAGGAACAAAAGCAACAGATAGTGAGAGTTATCCAAGACTGAGACTTGGAAGGGTGAAATCAGTTACATAAGAGGGCTGGGGGAAATAAGAGGCCACTGTTGAGTTGAACTGATTCACCAAGTGGTCAAGATGGGGAAAAGAGAAGAGAATGCCCAATACAGGGAAGATGACCTGGGAGAGAACTGAGGGGTTAAGGTACTGGAGGTCACAGTATGAACAAAATTAGGATTTAGAAAGGGAATGCAGAGGCAGTGGTGGAAGGCCAATAATTACAGTGAGATAAGGGGATTTCTGACTTCTTTAACACAGAGGTGGTGCATTTGTGGATGAGGCCAAGATCAAAGATATGACCATCTTCATGTGTGGCTGAGGTGGGGGAGAGCAGGTCATGGGAAATGAGTAGGTGGAGGAACTGAATGCCTGGAGTATTTGAAGGAGAGTGAATATGTATATTAAAATTCCCTAGAATGAAAGCAGGATTTGAAGAGAGAAAAACTGTAAGCTAAGTACCAGAGTTGTTAAGGAAGAAAGGGAAGTGACCTGGAGATTTGCAGACAACAGTTGTCAGGATTTTTATTCAGTGGTAGATATGAATTGCATAAACCTCAAAGGAAGAAACATTACCAAGTGATGGAGGTACAGGAAAAACCTGAAAGTGGCAACTTGGAGCAAGAAGTATTACAAACCAGTGAGCCAAGGAAAAGGAGTGAAGATGCAGCCAGTAATTGAAAGGGTTGCAGGGAAGCTGCTGAGGGGAAAGGGATTAAGGAAGAGGGAATTAGGAAGAAAAAAATCAATAGCACTTGGTAATCAGTTTTGGTAGACCAAGAATTAGGAACTATTTAGGAGAGGATGTCAATATCTGAAACTTGAGAACCTGAGAGAATGACAGCAACATTTAACAAGGTGTTAAAGGGGAAAACAATCAAACAAACATTTATTAAATACCTACCTTGGGGTAGGCACTGGAGATTCTGATTTGGGGGGAGCTCAGTCTAAAGCATGCCAAGCCAAGGTGATGATAGAACACTCAAATAGAAATGTAGTTTCTTCCTTAATGTATCTTTTAAACTGAACTTGGAAAATAGCTGCTAACAATGTCTATTAACATGACATCTGATATTAATAATTTCTCTAACTCCAATTTTTTTTCTAGAAATAATTAACTAGAATGAATAATTTATTTCAATTCAAGTAGAATTTTATTCAAAAGAGCTCTCAGTTTCTTTATCTTGCTATAAAACTAGCATTTTATCTTCCAGGATTAGAAGTTAGGAACTAATTAGAACAAAGTGGCATAAGTATTTGGTGAGTTTTCCCTCAGCCAATGATGCTAAATTAGGGTTTGTTTGTTTTTTAGCTTAGTTGAATAAGATAGCTCTGTTAATAAGTCAAAATTTCTTTGAAATGGTCTACTTTTGTTCTGTTATACCAAACTGTAATCCTACTAAAACCCAGATAACCCTACTAAACCCAGATGGAACCCTACTAAAACCTATTAAAAGAATCCTACTTAACACCTAGATTTCTGGGAACCTATGGAACATATGCCACTAGTTAAATGGGGCACCTGGCAAGAGAAAATGGATTCATCAATGCAAACCCATCTTTATCAGTATGGAGAAAACAACTCAAAACACATGCTTTTCACAAAAAATGATATGGGTAGTAAAAGCATTTCTTTAGTGTCTGTATGTGTGTATACATTACACATGTGCACATATGTACACACACACATAACAAACACACTAATAATTTGTATAAAGGAATACTGCTACAAACCAGTGTGTGTGTGCGTGCATATGTGAAAAACTATATGTACAAAAATATTTATAGTAGCTATTTTGTAGTGGCAAAGAACTGAAAACTAAGGGAGGTTGTCCAAACTGAGAAATGGTTGAATACATTATAGCGGATGAATTTAATAGAATTGTGTTGTAAGAAGTGGCAAAAGGCACTGTCTCAGAGAAATCTGGGAAGACTTACATGAACTGATGAAGAAAGAAGTTAACAGTTAAAGGAACCAGACTAATTTATTCAATAACAAAAAAAATTAAGACAAACAACTATGAAAGAACTGGGGCAGTTAGGTAGCTCAGTGGATACAGCACCAGCCCTGGAGTCAGGAGGACCTGAGTTCAAATTTGGCCTCAGACACTTGACACTTACTAGCTGTGTGACCCTGGGCAATTCACTTAACCTCACTGCCTAGCAAAAAATAAAACAAAAAAGAGACTTAAGAACTCTGATCAGTGTAATAACCAACCATGATTTCAGAAGACTGATGAAACATCCTACCTCCCTCTGTATAGAGAGATAGATGATAGACTCAAGATGCAAGATGAGACATATTTTTAGACATGGCCAATGTGGGAATTTGTTTTGATTATGCTTATTTGGGGTTTATTTTTTGTTTCTTGTCTTTTTTAATGCATTTTGTTTTTTCTTAATGATAAGAGAAATAAATTTAAGAATGAACCCAATACCATGCTTTTTTTTTTTTTGGGCTAGGCAATGGGGTTAAGTGACTTTCCGAGGGTCACACCGCTAGTAAGTGTTATGTGTCTGAGGCCACATTTGAACTCAAGTCCTCCTGAATCCAAGGCCAGTGCTCTATCCACTGCGCCACCTAGCTGCCCCCCAAAACCATTCTTAAAAGATGAAGGTCAGTTTTCAATTGGATAGTTTGACTCAATAAAAGTACTATGAATGAAATGTTTGTAAAGTCTATGCATATTTGTTACAAGAGTTTTGTTTTTGTTTTTTTTTTCCAGTGGGAGGCAAAGTGAGAAAGAGAAAATAAATGCCTGCTAATTGAAAAAAAAAAAACTTAAGAGACACTTTAGATATTTCAGCATATCTTTCAAATATTCCAAACTTACTAAAGGTCTATTCTTGCTTAATAATTAAAAAGCAGACTAGATTTTCTCCTTATCTGTAATCCTGGTTTGAATTACTATGGAGAATCAAAAATACTTTCCCCCCAAACAACAGTTTGTTCTCTACATAGCAACACAACATAAGAGTAAATTGGTGTGGTCAATAGGGCACTGGACTGGCAAGTCAGAAAGACCTGGGTTCAAGTTCCACCTTAAATACTTATTAGCTCTGTAACTATGGGCAAGTCATTTAAACCTTCTTGTCTATTTTACTCTTCGGTAAAATGTACTAACAGGTTAGACGTGATGGCTTTTAAGGTCATCCTTTCCAATTTGAAATCTATTATCTTATGATATGCAGAATGAACTTAGGCGTGCTATTCACTGATATGACTACCACCAAAACAACACCTGCTACAGACCTTGAGGCTCCTCAAGGTGCACGGTTTGGGGGTATTTCTGGATTAAAGTTAGGACTCTTGCACAAGTTAAATTTTGCTTGAAGGTCTAGAGTTTATGTCAACAGCTGTAACTAAACTGGTAAATGTTATATTTTTCTATGTGAAGAAAAAATGGTAATTTTCCAGTACCTATAACTTAAAAACTCATTCTACTAGAGAAAGTTCAGGAGTTCAAATTAATCTATAATATAGCAACTACAAAAACTTAAAAGGAAAAGAAGTGTCATGTCTTTTGGAAGAAAAAGTTATGAGCAAATTGTACTGGTTTATTTACAGTTGTAATTTAAAAACAGTAACACAAACATTTTTACATTAATATCATGGAAAAAATCCCATGGCTGAATTAGGCAAAAGTCAAAGACCTTGGGGAAGTTCTGTAAGGTAACCAGGAAAAGGGAAATGTAATACAACAGTCATAGGGCAGGATTATAAATACCAAGTGTGCCCCAGGTGCAATTTCATGCAAATGTCTTCAACAGTTCAATTCAGTTGGTTTTAGATAGTAAAGCAAATTATTTCCTGAATTAAGGTGCCTCATAACCACTTGATTCCCATTAAAATAACTTAAAGTAGTTGATTGTTAGATTCTTTTCTCACTCCTCAAAGCATTAGTTTTATATTTTATCACCTGAAAGAGTCTAAGGATCTGCTACATTCCTTGTGAAAAAAAGGATTCTAGAAAGTCATTCCATGGCCCCAAACACATTCTAGGGCTCCCCACCAAATGTGTTCAAAATGGATCGAAAAAGATCAACTAAGAAAGCAGCAAAACAAAGCAGATCACTTTATGTTTCAACGCATCAAAGGGGAAGAAAAATTTTTTTCAAAAAGGTTAAACTTTGAAAAACAAAGTACCAAAGGAAAAATAACATTAAGAAGCAAGGACATGATGATAAGGCATTGCAGCTATGTAGCACTCTGATTAGTAGTTTTTATTTAGTCTCATCACAGAACACAACCTCAAATGAGTGTAAAACAATGCACACTCAAACACACAGGTTTCGAAATAGACAAAACCATATAATTCACTTGTGATGGAGACCATTTTCACTGCTCCAATTTTATCCTTTTCAATTTGAATTTCAAATTTAACACACTTATCCACTTATTATAATGCTTTTACCCATTCCATTTTCCTCGTTAAGACTAGAAGTTACTCTTAGCTATCCTGTGGTAACTATTAGTACCAGGTTTAGTATTTTTGAAGCACTCGTTCATAAGTGTTCAAATTACTTCCCCCAATTGTGCATAGGTTAAGTGGTGTGATTTAGAAAACATGTGTTTACACTTCACAGTAGGGTAGCATTATTCGATCAGCTGGAATCTCCATATCCACGGAATTGGTTGAATTCCAGTCCTTTTAAGAAGAACAAAAGTAGTAAGCAAGATGTTTACTACACTGAGTAACATTTTTACTCTGATAATATTCGTGGGTAAAGCCAAATGTAAGAACATTAGGTTTCCTAAACAATTTCTAAGAATAGCGTTCAAGGTCATCGAAGACACTGCAATCACGCACACACGCACGCAGGCACACACACACACGCACACACACACATTTGTATGTGTCTATATTGTTACCTGAAAAGTTCGGGATGTTGTCTTAAAACAGGTTGCGCAAAACTGAACTGCATCTTGTATCCTTACTCCATGAAGGTGCAAGGTCAGCTACTCTAAAGCCACTTAGTAAATGACCTTGATCATAAATGACTTGTACAAAACCAAAAATGCAAAAGAAAATTTAAAAATTTCAAAACAGTCCTGAAATTGATTATAATAATTTACCCTATCTTAAGCCTGCTACTCAGGCACTCCCAGGAGTAAATAAAGTGTCTCAGGTTAGTATTCGGTTAGGAAAGTATGTTCACACCTCTCCTGGTCTTTTGCTATTAGCTTTCCAAGGCATCCAGAACCTTCATGATCTGTTGTTTTATGGCTTTGGTAGCATCCCCTGCATTTGGAATCAAATACCTGCAAGAACAAAAACTAAATGTTAATGTAAGGCTTTCATAATAATAATAATACTTATTCTTCATAATACACCTAATAAGATTGAGGGGTTAAATGAATTTTTCAAGGAAAAATAAGGAGCCCCACAGTCTGACTATAAGTTGACTTATAGTTGACTATAAGACTGAGACAATCCTAGTGAGCTAATCTAGCAAATACAGTTTATTTCCCCAATCTCATGACAGGTTCTAGGTTGCAACAAGACAATGCAGTGAGCTGCAATGAGAAAAGTTTGTATTGTACATATAACAGTGTTTCAATTAGGTAGAACTTCAAAGCATTTGATGTCAGCCACTTTTGTGAGAATCTATCCTTCTTAGGTCAAAGACAAAAAGGAAGGCCTCTGTATAGAAATACTAAGAGAAATAGTTTTTGTGGTGGCAAAAAACTAGAAGCAAGATGGGTACCCTCTGATTGGGCAATAGTTGAACAAATTGAGGTATAGGAATGTCATGGATTAGGGGTGGGGAACCTGCAGCCTCAAGGCCATATGTGGCCTTTTGACTTAATCCAAGTTTCATAGAACAGATCTTTTTATTAAGGGGATTTGTTCTGTGATTCAGTCAAAGGGCCACATTTGAGGACCTAGAGTACCACATGTGGCCTTGAGGCCTCAGGTTCCTCAATCCTGTAATGGATAGTACTGTGCCATAAGAAATGGAGAACTCAGAGGAATTAGTGAAAACTTGTAGGAACTGCTACAAAGTAGAACCTAGAAAACAATTTCCATAATGACTACATAATGAAAAAGACAACAACACTGAAAGACATCAGAACTCATATCAATGTAGTGACCAATCTTGACTACAAAGGTCTGAGAGAGAAATAAGCCTCTAAAGCTCCAAGAGGTGATTCTATAGATGTAGAGTTCTATTAGAGGTGAAAGTAGACAGCAGCAGGGTTGTGATAGGATGTAAAAAAACACAATTATCACTATAGAGTACACACATTTTTTTCTTAAATAAGAAATACAAGGGAAGTTAAGTATCAGATGCTATACACAGCATGACTGAATATTACAATTTACACATGAAATAATCACTGACAGAAGCTGGAAGCCAAGATGAACAATGCAGGGGCAGCTAGATTGTGCAGTGGATAGAGCACCCGCCCTGGAGTCAGGAGGACCTGAGTTCAAATCCAGCCTCAGGCACTTACTAGCTGTGTGACCCTGAGCAAATCACTTAACTCCAACTGCCTTGCCAAACACAAAAAAACAAACAAGATGATCCATGTAAACTTCAGGAACTCAATTCTTCAAAATTACCATTCATTAAGCAGTTGAGGAATTGCTGAGGCCTGTATTCACTGACACATAAATTATTAAATGCAATCAAGCCTACAGCTGCAAAACATCTCAAGTAGATGAGAGAGAACTGATAAATGTTCAACCAACTCGCTTTAAGCTGTTACTCAATTTAAAATGTACAACTCCCCAGACACTGATTTTAATCATTGCTCTCAAGTATCTAATGAGCAAATAGAGTTCTTTGGTTCACAAGAAGTATAATGAATCCTAAATTCTACAAAGAGAACATGCCAAAGTGCACATGGTCCAACTCTGTATCATGGATTAGTTGCTAGACCACATCTGTGTCAGTAGTAGTTGTTATTGGGGGAGGAGGGAAAGGCAGAGATGTGAACACATACACTGATTGTTTAAATACCCTATTGTACCATTTTAATATAATAATTTATGTGATAATCACATCTTCTTACCTTTCAACTGCCAAAATTTCTATTCCTGAAGTACTGCTGTTTCCATACTTGAAGGTAATTAGCTCAGGGTGTTTTTTCTTGGATGTGATTTTAACTACAGAATTTAGTGCTTGCCGAGACTGTATGTAAGCCAATCCTTTTCGTGAAGGAATTTCCCTTAAACAGTACATGTGTGTTGCAGTAACCAAAAGATGACTTGAAAGAAAAAAGTAATCAAGTATTAGAAAAGAGTTTTCACAAATAAATCAAAGTAGATGCTACCAAACATCCCTTTTGCTAATACAATGGTTAGATCTAAGTGAGATTAGTTCTGTATTAGCCAAAATCACAGCATAAAATGATTTATGAACAAAAACTATTTTATAATGAAGAATTTTTCAAACTGATACAACAAAAAGACCCAATATAACATACAAATATATCAGAATGTCTATTATTACTAATGCTATAGCTAAAGTGGAACTCTTTATTCATAAAGATGTAAACAAAAATGTATTTAATCTACAAACAAAAAATACAGCCTATTTTGAAAACCTCTCCAGCATAAACACTTGGGCTCTAAAAGTGACAGTATTTGCTAAATGATAACTGATAAACAAATCATACACAGTTTACAGGTAAAGATATTATCTTCTGCTACATTATACTTTTTATCAACCTTGATTTTTGACTCAGGGAACTGGAATCTCACTATGGCAGTATCAAAGGAAAACTATCATCTGGCATGGTACCAAAGCCAGTGATGACCACAGATTATTACGTTTTCTTTCATGATTAGAAGGAATGCAATGTATTTAGCTCCCCAAATCACAAGTGACTATGGAGCAATGGTTAATAACTCCCCCTGGCTCAATTCACTTGTGATACATTTACAAAATACCACATGTGAGAGTTTTTCATTTTTAAAAACTATAAAAATATACATTGCAAAAGTTGATAAAATTATGGCAGACTGAATTTACATGATAAAATAGTCATGGGTTTAAATATTTTTTAGCCCACTCGATAATTTTAAGTATATATTATCACACTAACTTTGATAAATTTTATTTTATTTCAGAACAAGAAAATGACTTGAACCAGTACCTAGGAAACATGTGTCCATTTTCTTTTACTTCATTGCAAGGAAAATGATGCTTGATGTCTGGCTTGTTTATCCAGGTTTGAATATTCACAACCTCTTTTCGATCATCATCTGACATTGAAGAACTATCAATTTCATCTATAAAGAATTAAAATTATTGTATAAATGGAGATCACCTCTCAAATATAATTGCAATATGATATAGTAGAAAAAGCACTGAGCTTTTGGTCAAGAGAAAACTGGGTTCAATTCCATGCTGCCATTCCGAAGCTAGGTAACACTGGGAAAGTCACTTAATCTCTCTGAGCCTCAGTTTACTCATCTGTAAAACAGAGATGATATCATCTTTAATCCATAGCTCACAGGCTATTTGGAGGATAAATGAACTAATGGAAATAAACTGTTTCACAAACCATAACAGTGCTATAAAAATGTTTTTAATATCTTCTCACCAACTTCTGAAAAGTCACATACCACTTACTAGTCAAGAGAAAATTTCAAAAATACTTTCATCAAACAAGACTAAAAAAGAACCCTATAATATTTCTTAAGGTAACTAGCTATATTACATGACATTTTGGGATGAAAATCTAGTGAAAAAATTTATAAGGCAAACAAACTTTTCTCTAAACTAAAAGATTTTAGGAGTTTATATGTAAACTTGTCATACAATTTTCAAAAATAGTGTGAAGTAAATCAACTTGATATATATGTAACAAAATTGTAAAGACATGGTTGAGCCTACCCAACCACAGATATATTTCTCCACTGCAAGGAGAGGAAAAAATTTTTCCCCATCAAAAGCCATAAATAGTAACTTAGGGGAAGTAAAAAAAAAAAAATTCAAGAATCACTTAAGTTAAAAAAAAATCAACTTACTTTTTAAGTTTTTAAAGGGAAATACTTATAAAATTATGAAGATAACATTAAAATGCATTCAACAATAAAACTACTAGTTAAATCACCTAACTTTCTATTTCATGAAGATTAACACTATCACCTAATAGGAATTCCCTCAATTTCCCACCTTAAAGCTTCTGTGATTCATCTTCTTTCTTCTTTCCATCTCAGAGGGAAAGGTATCCCCACACCTTGCTAAATAATTCCTCCTGCTCTTGACCTCATTTATCCTTTCCTTTAAACTCCAAGACCCCTTTCTTCTCTGCTGGCTCTTTCCAATCTACTCATAAACATGTCCAAGTCTCATCAATTCTAAAAATGTTTCTCCCTTCTATTTCTATCTCATCTAGCTATCATCCTACATTTGTCTTCCCCTTTATAGTGAAGTTTCTTTTAAAAAAAAAAGTCTGTGAGTAAGTAGTTCATACTAGAGAGGGGGATGAGAAGAAAGGCACACTAATTCACTGTTGGTGAAGTGGCATCATGCCACTATTCTGGAAAATAATTTGGAATTATTCAAGAAAAATGACTAAACTGCCCATCAATGATGTCTCTACTGAGCATATATCCCAAAGAAGTCATAAACAGACAGAAAGAATTCATATATATAAATATTCAGAGTAGCACTTTTTATGGTACCACAAACCTAGAAACAAAGTGGGCAGCCATTGAAGGGAGGGCAGGGGAGCAGGACAGGATTGGGGGGAGAATCCTTGAACAAAGTGTGGTATATAAATGTGATATATATTATAATTATGGCACCATAAGAAATGATGACTATGAAGAATTCAGAGAAATTTGGGAAGACTTGTATGAACTAATATAGAATAAAGGAAGAACCAAGAGAATAATATACATAAAGACCACAAAAACAGAAATGGAAATACTATTAAAAGACATCAGAATTCAGAAGAATGAATGACCAATTGATTTGTGAGGGCTAATGAAACATACTTCACTCCTCTTGGTAGATAAATGGTAGACTGGGTCCAGAATGTTACATATACTATCAGAACTCAACTGTTTTTCTGTCAAAAAGGAGGGTTTCTGGGTGGAGTAAGGAAAGAAGTAATTGGACAGTAATATTAAAAAAAAAAAAGAGCAATAAGGTATTTTTAAAATAGTCTAAATTTAATGCTGCCATATCCTCAACACCTTTTTGCCCCGTCAACCCCTTGTACTCTAACTTGTACTTGCCAACACTCTTCTGAGACTGCTCTCTCAAAGGCCATGGAGGACCTAATTGACAAATCCAATCGTCTTTTCTAAGTCCTCATTCTCCTTGATTTTCTGAAGCATCTGACACAACAAACTGTCCAAGTTATGGATACCCTCAAAGAATTACATAATACCAGGTGAAAAGGACCTCAGAAATCAAGTAGTCTGACTTGTACCTGAACTACTCTAAAATATTCCTAATGAATGAGCACCAGTGACAGAGAATGACACCACCTTCCTGCGGCAGTTCATTCTACACTGGGAGAGCTCTAATAATCACAAAGTTTTATTTTTCATTTTGAGTCTCTGTGTGACCTCCATTCATTGTTTCTAGCTCTTTCTCCTGATCTCATAACATTTGTCTTCCCCAAGGTTCTGCCCTTAGCCCTCTTCTTTTCTCTCTCTACATGACAATTTCATTTGCTCCCAACCCACCTCTAACACCTGCCAAACACCCTGTTATTGCTACCCATTCGGAAAGTTCAGTTCAAATCCAGGAAATCTTTTCTGATATCCTTCAGTACATAAACATATTTTCTTTGTTTTCACCTCTTTCATGAACTTCTGGTTCCCTAATAATTATTTGTGGATATGTCATTTCCCCTGACTAGAGTATGTTCCATGAAAATTGAGTCCATATTCTATCTGAACCTCATTATCCCCTTGACACCTACCACAGTGCTCAGCACAAAGCACATATATTTATATGTAATGAGAGTTTTGCCTTTTTTTTTAAAAATTCCCATTTCCTGGCACTTAGTAAGTACTTAATAAATGTTTACTGACTAAGTACGTAGATCTCTAATATTTACTGAATTGAAATGAACTGAAAAGAGTAAGACAGAGGATGTCGTAGATGGATAGTTACAAAAAGAAACAGACAGAATTTTAAGAAGCAACACCTCCACCTTGTGGCTCTTTAGAGTAACAACTGCTATGGGTACACAAGGCAGCAATCACCTGGTATCAAATGCTGGCCGTCATCTGGTGGTTAGAAGAAATAAAGCATTGGGCCAGCTGTTCCCAACTTCTGAATCATACTATGCCCGTATTATGCATATTATGCCTAATTTTGCTATATATTATGTAGTACAGAGCTATCACTTGTACTCAGTAGTGTGTGTGGATAATAATACCTAAAGAATTCCAAGATGGTAGAGAAAGAAGTAAGTCACTCTCACCCTCCCTCATTGAGGTCTGAAAACCCAGAAAATATCGACCCAGGACAAACCCTAAGCCAGCAGAAAGACAGGGTACAGCAGTCTTGTGTCCCAGGAAGCTTGAGGAATTAACAGGAAAGGCCCCTCTCACTCTGGGAGAGGGGGAGCAGTACAGGACCAGAGGCAGACCAGCAAGCCAGTGGCAAACCCCACCTCAGCACACCAGGGGGAGATCCTGAGACCTTGCTTGGTGGTGCAGGCAAATGCCAACACCAGAACCCCTGAGAGCCTCAATACAGGCACAGGAACTAACAGATACCAGTTCGGAAAACCACCACGGGCTATGGGATTCTCCAGCAGCAAAATCACTGGGTGTCTCAACACAACTCTGGGAAGCACAACTCCAGAAGGCAAAGCTCCAGGCTAACATACATCTACCAGCAGCACAACATAACTCTGCAAAGCTCAGGTAAGCAGGAGCCAAACATTCAAGTGCAAGGCCTGGGTGAGCAGGGAAAGAAGCTTGGGTAAGTGCACCCTTCACTCCACCAGGAGAACTCAACATTTTTTTTTTAAAGTCAGGAAATGGGCAAACACAATGAACAAAAAGCAGAAATGGGAAATGATCACAGATTCTTATTTTAGGGAAAGGGAAGATCAAGGCACAAATTCAGAAGAGGACAACATTGTCCGCTGACCCACATCTGAAACCTCAAAGAGGAATATGAACTAGTCTCGAATCCAAAAAACCTTCTTGGAAGAGCTCAAGAAAGATTTTAAAAGTCAAATAAGAGAGGTAGAAGAAAAATTGGGAAAAGAAATGAGAGGTATGCAAGAAAGAGTCAATAACTTGGAAAAGGAAAAACAAAAATTAACTGTAGAAAATAAGTCCTTAAAAAGAAGAATTAGCCAAATGGAAAAGGAGGTACAAAATCTAATAGAAGAAAACAACTCCTTAAAAATTAGAAAGGAACAAGTGGAAGCTAATGACTCTTATGAGAGAGCACGAATCAGTCAAGCAAAAACAAAAGAATGAAAAAATACAAGAAAACATAAAATACCTCATTGGTAAAACAGCTGACCTAGAAAATAGATCCAGGAGAGACAATTTAAAAATTATTGGTCTAGGGGCAGCTAGGTGGCATAGTGGATAGAGCACCAGCCCTGGATTCGGGAGGACCTGAGTTCAAAGCCAGCCTCAGACACATAACACTTATTAGTTGTGTGACCCTGGGCAAGTCATAACCTCACTGCCTAGCCAAAAAAAAAAATTATTGGTCTATCTGAAAACCATGATGAAAAAAAGAGCCTTGACAACATCCTTCAGGAAATCATCAAAGAAAACTGCCCTGAGGTCCTAGAACCAGAGGCTAAAAATGGTCAAAGAATCCACCAATCACCTCCTGAAAGAGATCCCAAATAGAAAACGCCAAGGAATATTGTAGCCAAATTCCAAAATTATCAGGTCAAAGAGAAAGTACTGCAAGCAGCCAGAAAGAAACAATTTCAATATCATGGAACCAAGGTCAGGATTACGTAGGACCTTGCAGCTTCTACATTAAAAGATGAGAGGGTGTGGAATACGATATTCTGTGAGGCAAAGAAGCTGGGATTACAACCAAGGATCAACTACCCAGCGAAACTGAGCATAACCTTTGAGGGGAGGAGATGGACATTCAATGAAATACGGGACGTCCAAACTTTCCTGATGGAAAGACCAGAGCTCAACAGAAAATCTGACCTTCAAATACAAGACTCATGAGAGGCATAAACAGGAAGGAAAAAAAACCATTATTCAATAAGGGCAAACTATTTACATCCCTATGTGGGAAGACAATACTTACAACTCTTGAGAACTGCATCTTTATTATGACATTTAGAAGGAATATACATAGACAGAGGGGGTTTAAGTTGACTTTGCTATGATGATAAAAAACCTAATTAAGTGGTGAAAAGGGATTGTACTGGGAGAAGAGGAAAGGAGGAGGCAGACGAGGACAAATTATATCACACTAAAAGGCACAAAAACCAAATACAGTAGAGGGAAAGAAGGGAGGGAGATGAGCATTGTTTGAACCTTATTCTCATCAGATTTGGTTCAAAGAGGGAATGACATAACCAGCTAGGTATAGAAATCTAAATAACCCTATAGGAAGTTGGAGGGGAAAGGAAAAAGAATTTCAAAGCAAAAAGAAGTACCCTACAGATAAGCGGATGTACCTGTGTCATATTCTTCTTCATCTCCAATGCTGAATACAGGCTTCACACCACGGTAGGGCTTGCCTACTCTGTCACTGCTACTCACGTGTCTATAATTATTGGAATTTGGAAAAGAAAATAACAGTTTAAGATAACCATCATGCAAAGTTTCCCCCAAACACCATATTAACATGCAAGCAAATAAGAATTTTATGCACCCAAGAAGAGCCCATAGTTTCAGAAAAGCTGTGTCAAAATTGAAAGTAGATAAGCAAACTATGTTAGTGAAAGTGGAGTACAGGATTTATTTGCTAGACTAAATGTTCTCAAAGCTGTAAGAATAAAATTTAAACAAGTTAAACATTCCTCTTAAATACAATCCCAAGTTCCTGACAATGGAACCAAAGATTCAAAGGACAACAAGGCCAACCAGGCATTTTTCCTTTCTAAAACAGAAAAACTGTTGCATGCTGGGAAAACTTGGTTTTGTTTACTTTTTTTTTCTCTTAAAACTTTTTTTATGGACATAAAAAAATACCATAAAGACTAAGGTTCTCCCTCAAAACATCCCAGCTCCAACTTCATTTTTTTTTTTTTGGAGACAAATAAATGTTGTGTACACAACCTAGATGAACCCTATAGAAGTTACCTCCGAATTATATGTATGTATATGTATTTGTATATGTGTGTGTGTGTACACACCTGCTGATATCAATTATCTCTATAAGCCATCAAAGTAAAATGAAAACACTCCATCAACTATATATTAGTCTACACTTTCGAGGAAGCTGCATCATGTTTTTAGAATAAAGATCAGAAGTCTCATTTATTATAAATGTGCTCTCTAGATTTTCACACTTTATCATATTTTTACAAGATGTTCTTATATAGAAAAATTTGGATTATTCAGATCTTCAATTAGTTTTCTTAATTGTGTGTAGGTAATTCTCTAACAAGCACCCTAAATGAGGCTCTAAGCAGAAAGCCACTGTTCTAGTCCCTTATTTTTTCCCCAAAGAGGCTGATATTTTAGACCATATACAACTCACTGCTGAACAGGAAACTAATGGGAAGTGGGTATAATATTGCTCCAAATGTGGGCCAGATGTCCCCTAAACCTGAGTTTGGTATGTTATAATCACATTCCAAGGAGCACAGACCCAGTTTTAGACTCACTGGCCTCATCAGCTACAGCTTGAGTGATAGTTGCCTTACCCACACCCTGGGGACTAAGTAGAATCACACCTGGGAGTGGGGAAAATGATCACTTCTCATTGCACAGCTATGCTGGTTTCCTTTCAAAGAAATTTTATATCAGGTTTATATCAGGTTCAACACCGCAGATTATGAATACTAGATAGAAACAACTCCTGTGAACCACAAAACAGGTTAAACAACATATCTTATAAAGTTGGAACTTAAGACAATTAAATGATCCAGAAATTACAACAAATCTTTTTGATCACTCAGTAAAATTATCGAGGTAGAACCCACATCAGCAAAACAGCTTCAGGGATAAAATCTAATCATAGAATCATAAGACTTAGTTAGAGTTAGAAGAGACTTTAGAGATCATCTAGTATGAACCCCTCATTTTTCAGATTAGGAAACTGAGGGCCTGAGAGATTAAATAACTTGTTCAGTCACTCTAGTAATAAGCATAGAGCTAAGATTTGAACCAAGGTCCTTGATTCCAAAATAGGACTTTTTCTACTATACCACATTGTCTTGGCTTTAAATGCATGTTTCAGTCCAAACGAATCATAAATCTTCTGTCAGCTTTCTGATAGGGAAGAAAATGATACTGCCAAAAGCCAAGGCTTAAGTCCTGTATCTTAAGGCATTTTAAGACCTTTTGATATATTTTTTAAAATAGGAAGCAATTATTTTCTTTTGATTAAACCATTATGATTTAAAAAAAAAAAGCCAATAGAATGCTTACATGAGTAACAACCAGAAAATAAGCATGAGTAACACTTACAATCCAAAAGCAAATTCTTGATCTGGACTGTCAAAATACAATGTTTTGCAAAGAAAAAAAAAATAGAACAAAATACATTAGATAAATTTTAAAGATGTGTCTGTATTAATTTTTTAGTCTTAAAAACACTAGTAAAAATTACTGAAATTCCATAGAAAGGACTTATTTAGCCAAAGTAAAAAAAAAAAAAACTCATAGAAAAATCAACCAAAAAAACCCAATCTTCAACCCAACATCTTAATGGAAATCAGAAGGGAAGGAATTTTTAACTAATTTCATCAAAGATGGAAAGAAAACAACTCTTGTTTTCACTTCATCTAAATTATATTTTGCTCAAATTCAGATTTGAGATAGTTGAGATAGTTTCCCTACGTTAATATGTTTGGTAGGCCTCCCAAACTTAATGGAAAAATTAACTGGAACAAGGAGGATCATAATTTGAATGATAAATTAGTTCACAATTTGGGAAGAATAAAGCTCAGCTAAATAAAATTTAACTAAAACAATCACCTCATAATAAGAAAAACGCGGAGAAGACTGCATGTTGGGGAAGAATGCCTTTAAAAATAAAAAACAACTAACAAATTATACTGTTAAAGGAAGTGATTTCTCTAGGAAAAGATTTAGGTAGGCATTTCAGAATTATCTAAATGTGAAGTTTAAAAAAATTAGAACATTAGCTTCCAAAAGGTATGTTACCAGAAAAGAGCCAATCCTCTTTAACCGGTTTACATTCACATAAGTATTAAGCCTTATTATTTAAAAAAGTGTAAATTTCAAGAAAAGAGTAAATAACATAATGGAAATAGGGGAAAAAAAAACCAATCTGCCACAGGCAGAACTAAATCTCTTAAATGACCAAATGACCGAGAAGGTCTCTTCCAACTCTAAGATTCTGTATTAGATTATAAGCTTTCAAGAGGTTGAGGCCGTGCCTTATCAGCTATTTGTCCTATGGGCTGGTACTTTAAATTCTCTCTTTCTATTTCACTTTCCTGTAAGCAACATGCTTTACTACCTCAAAGCAAATGATGGCATGTATAATCACACTGGTGTATGCAGTCTTCAATGCAAATTTTTCATGAAAGATTAAGTCCTCAAGAGAAGATGGCATAAAAGGAAGTAGAATCAAACCAAAGAAGCATGCATGAAGTAAAAAATGAAAAGCACCAAGCTAATACAGCCCAAAGAGCAGCACTAGACAAATAATCAAAAAGCAGAATGAAAAGAGGCTACCGAAAAATTTAGCTTTTTTTTTCACTGCTACCTGGAATCTCAGGTTAATGTCAGTGTAACTAATGCTTACAAACAGTGAGAATCGTGCTTATAGACAAGCATGGCTTAGTTGGACTCTTCTACCCATGGCTTACCGCTCTGTACTTGTTTTGTCTGGCCAAGGAAGATTGAAAGACATTCTATAGCAAATTAAGGCAGAGGACAGAACAAAACAATTATAAAAAAATTTAAAATCTACATGTTTGAAGTGATCAATTTTTCTAATACATATCATCATGTGAAGACAGGGTTTTTATATTCTCAAGCAGAAAGCAGGAAAATATGACATTGTAAGTAGGGATGGAGGGAGATGGCTAAGGGGGAGATAACTGATTTACTCAAAAGACAAACCCTATTCCCAGAGAGATATTTGACTAAACGGAACATACAGAAGGTGACAATTACATTCCTACACCTAAAGACATATCAAGAAGTTGTGAACTACCTAAAAGTCAAAAGATTAGACTTTTAAGAACAAAAGAACCACCATGAGACCCATTACTTAAACAGTCAGATCTGATAAAATAACCTTAATACGATCCATCACTCCACATGCATGTATAGTTTACTTTTTATTAACAAAAATAAATCTCTAATCTTAGTTGCTATTTATATTTTCTGAAGGAAAAAAAACACTTCTATGAAATGCCATATTTCTAACATTCAAGTTTTTATGTCACCTGATTCAAATATCCCTGGATATTGAAAGTAAAATTTAATGAGTTATTAAATGAATACATTTTCAAGAGAAAAGTGTGCTTAGAAACAAATCCTCATTTTTGTTCTTTCACTTCAGCCATTTTTACAATGCAAAACAGGTACCCATCATTTGGGGAACATAATAGGAGAAATGAGGGTTATGAAAGATTGAGATAACTACAGTAAGACTTGCATAAACTAATCCAGACCCAAAATAAGCAGAACTGAGAGAATAATTTACATGATGACAATAATATGAAGAAAGTTAACAAACCTCAGAACTCTAATCAAAGTAAGTCACAATAGTGACTTCAAAAGAACTGAAAATGGAATATAAACCACCCCACCACCCGACCTCTTTACAGGAAAGTGCTGGATTAGAGGTGTAGATTGACATATACATTTTCAGAAACAGGAAATGTGCTGATCTGTTTTGTTGGACTATACATATTTGTTACAAGAAAGGGTGGAAAGAAGACAGGAGGGTAGTGATAGAGAGGCAAAAACAGGCCATCAATAAAATAAATTTTAAATGCAAACAAAAAATCCAAGAGACACAAAGTTTTGTTGCTATTTGGTTAAATTCAACATATGTATTTTTTAAAAAGTAAATTTAATTTTTTTTAATAGATCAACACCCCCTCCCCCACCTTCCAATTTGTTGTTTCAGTCATTTTTGAGTGATGTCTGACTCTTCGTGTCCCCCTTTGGGGTTTTTTTGGCAAAGTTACTGGAGTGGTTTGCCAATTACTTCTCCAGCTCACTTTACAGATGAGAAGACAGAGGCAAACAGGGTTAAGTGATTTGCCCAGCTTGTAAATGTCTGAGGCCATAGCTGAACTCAGGAAGATGAGTCTTTCTGACAGAAAGAAACAAATCCCTCTGGTTCAAAGTTGTAGGGTAACTTCAGATTTTAGAAAACAACTAACTAATTAGGCACACTGAAAGATAAGTTTCCAAAAGCACATAAAGTACATTATAGGTAACAACAATTTTGAAGAAAATTAAGAGTGATAAATGAGGGAGTATTTACTTTTCTCCATTCCATTTAACTAGGATTATTTAAATTCTATGAAAAATTAAACTCACAAATTCCAAAGAGTAGGCCTGTGTTTTGTTTAGCAAGGTAAAACTTCCTAGTTCATAAATCTTTGATAATGGAGGGTTAGATCAAGAGCGGGCAAAGGCATTTCCCCAAAGTCCAAGACTCTTTCTACTGCCCATAAGACACTGGAAAAGTATCCACTACATGTAGTGATATGTACATATTGTAGCAGGTGTTATTATTTTAATGAATAAAAGGCATACCATCTATCTATCTCATTTTCAAGTTTTAAAAGATTTTAATATACAAGGTTTTTCCAGTTATCTTCAATTCTTTACTGTGTTGTATAGTGGGTCTCCCACTCACAATTCCTCTTTTTGTTGCCAAAGAGGGGATGAACTTTGAGCCAAAATTTATTCCATCGAATAAACACAATATATAAAACTTAGTGGAATAGGATCACTTAACAAAAATGTGTTTAAACAGCTTTTCTGGAGTATCTTCATTAACTGAGGTATATCTATGTACCAATCAGAGATTATAGGTCTTATAGATATAAATCTGGGACAGGTTGAGAGGTAATCCAATCTAACTCCCTCATTTTACTGATGAGCTAACTGAGGCCTAGACAGGTTTAAGTGTGTTATCCAAGACACAAATCCAGCCCTCTTTCTACTGCATCATACTTCTCTTAACCCCAAATTCTATTTAAAAAAAAACCTCACCTGTCTACAGGAGTTGATGTATTCTCAATAAAACTGATAACTTTCTCCTTGACATTCACAGATTTTGTCTTTAAAGCGACAGTCATTTTGTTTACCAATGATTTCATTCCTCGCCCATCATTTGAACCATTAGGAGAATCACCCTGTAAGAAAAGAACTGATATAAGGATTGTCTCCTAAAACACAAAAGCGAGCAAACTCATGACGAAGATATGTGGATATGAACTTTTTAGGAGCAAAAGATGGAAAAGTAGGTATAAATGCCTTAGGCTGTCAAAATCTACTCTTCCTCCAATGAGAAATAGTTCAAACCTATAGATTTCTGGTCTGTCTAACCAACAGAATAAAAAGGTAGGAAGATTACTACTAACATGGCCAATTCATTTTTTCTTTTACATGTTTCTACCATATTTGTTCTTGGGTCTTTAAGTATTTTTTTTTAGAAATTAAATAAACCCATACATATAATGAAAATGTCTGCTTCTATGTCTAAACCCCAAACTTAATCAAATTAACACTGAAAACAATCTCCTTATCAAACTCAAGTTCTTTAACTTTCTTGTTTGCACATGCTTTGGTTGAAGTGGCTTTAGTAAAAATTTTATTTTTAGTGTATATAATGCATTCTCTTCCCAACTTTATCCTTTTATTTTTAGACAGTTGTTAGAGCAAAAGATTTCCATTAGGTCTTTAATCAGTATTTTTCAAATTAGAAGTCAGGGACGCCGAAAAAGGCTGTGAGTTGGAAAAGTAGGTAGAGAGATGAGCTACTCAGCTCCCAAAAGATACTGAGTATTTATAGCAGCAAACTGCAAAGTATTTGAATAAGGTGAGTCAGCCTCTTCTTCCCAATCTAGTGGTTTATTGGAAACAGGTTACTATATAAAATGGGTTACTAAAGGGGATTCTTTAATAACTAAATCACTGTATTACAAATAAACTCACCAAAGTTCTCATTTGATGTAAGGGGGCATCAGTCAAATACTAAATGGTTTCTTTATAAAATGGTTAAAGACTAAATTGGGAAAAAGGAACTACTGGCAATTTAATTAACTGGTGTCCTATTTATAGTTCTACTTTGAGGGATAATCATGCATTACTACCTTAGGACCTTAGGTCTTGAAGAAGACTATAATTACATTAAAAAATAATGACTTAGGCCTAATGGATTTTTTAGGAAAAGGAAGACACACTTAAATCAGACAAACTTCTGAAACTTTTCTTCTATTCAAGGTAATGACTAAAATAGACTAAGAATATGTCTATACAAAATACGAAGACATCTATTAAAACAAATTATCACATGATTAAATGATCATGATTCACTATAAACATAATGAAACTACTTAATGAATTTGTTAATACTTGGTCCTCTTTTCTAGACATTTTAGACACTTACATCAACAGAGGAATTTATACTACTCCTGGAGCCTGAGGTGCTAGCAATCCAGTGGCCATATCCATTTTCTGGTCCATCCACATTTATGTCTGCTAAGTGCTGCTGGAGTGCTTGTGGAAAAACAAGAAATAAAAACTAAAGTATCAAACCCTTTTAGACACAGTTATTAATAACTAAGTAAATATGCTACAAAATTAATTCCTTATATACATATGATCCTCTCTCTGCAGAAAATAGTAAAATAGTATGGCCCATAGTAAAAAGCCATAATTTAAAGAAAGGCTCCTCTTCCCATTAACTTCCTGTCCATATGCCACACATGCGTTACAGTGATTTTAACATGACTCTGGTGAGTTCTACATTTTCCCTTTTTGATTCTTACAAGCTGCCCATAGATAATCTCAAATAAATTGTTTTACAACATAACATTAAGAATTCATGGGAGAACTATTGCTGCTTTTCTTCGCATAAGGAAAACTCAAGCCAGCCTTTCCTATAACAATTTAGCAACTTTCAAAGTTAATTATTTTTTAAAAAGATATATTAATCCCAGTAAAAGCAACGATTGGTAGGAAAAATTATTTTGCAAAACCTTAGTTCCATTCTATAGGAGAACAATTTTCAAATGTTCAAAATACAAAGGACAACAATTTTAATGAACATCCCCTCTGTTTAGTCATACAAATTAATGATGAAAATAAACACTGGATCCAGGACCAATGTCTATATAACACTTATAACCACCACACCACTCACTTTCTAGGTATGAGTCGTTCACTAGCTTATCATTGACTATACTGTGCAAGAGAAAATAAACATTGCTAATATCAAGAGAGATTACATTCACTATTTTCTGTCAAACTACGGAGCCAATCACTAAAAAAAATGAACTTCAGTGTATCAAGATTTATCCTTGATAAGGAATCTATGGCGACAGCCTAATACCCTGTTCTCTTCAGGATCCACACAAATTGGTTGTTATAACTGATCAGGGCTTACAGATCTATATTTTTTATAATCCTCCTTCTACTACTACTTGTAAGATACAGACAACATGCCAACTCCTTTTCGACTTTTAAATGTTATATTAAAATTTCATGAATTTTCAAAATATGATAGCTATACACTCTGCATAACTCTGGTCAATTATTTTAGAATCTGAGGAACCAAGTTATCAGCTTAATGATACGAATACACCTAGCCTATTTAAGTAGTTTCTCACCAGATAAGAATTTATAGATTAATAGTTTAGAACTGGAAAAAACCTTAAAAACATCATTTAATCCAACCCCTCAATTGACTGAGAACCACAGAGGTTAAGGAAATTGAACCACCCAAGGAGACATACAGTGATAAGAACTCTGAGACTGGAATCTAGATTTCCAGATTCCAAGTTCAGCATTCTCTGACTATACCAGGAAGACCTACAAGTACAGGACTGGGGCTTAAAAGCAGTAGCTCAAGAACAGGGTTTTGTCCTTAAGGTTTAAAAAAAAAAAAAAAAGACTAAATTTTTCTATCAAAATTTCCTCCTTTGTTTCTCAGATGACAAGGATATTAAGAGGTAAAAGCTCTCAGTCAGGAGAAAGCAGACTATGATTTCTGAGGTCTATACTTCCTCCTCTCTATTAACCAAATATGTAATCAAATCTTAGTGGAAAAGCATTTGTTATATTATGTATAGCAAAATGTGAATGTTAAAAAAGTATTTATTAATGCATGTTAATAATAATTAATAAACAAGGCTTATAAGTGCCAGTAACTCTGTTACCTACACTAAAGAAGGGGAAGAAGAGATCTAATAGATAATATCAAAAAGTACATAAATACATATATGCATAACTACACATATATATGTATACATACATGCATAAATACATATATATATACACACACGTATACATACATACACAAACACAATTATTTTTAGTTTAGAAGACATAATATGGTTTTCTGCAGCACAGCTACCTCCCTAATTGTGTCTATCTTAATCTAATCACAAAATTAATTTGTATTTCTAGGATACACAACTGACGGTGACAAGAAGCCAGCTGAGAAACCACTAATGGCAGGTGGAAACCAGTCTGAGCTTAAAACACAGTTGTAGACAATAAACATATGTAGCTCATAATCTACACACAGAAAACTGAGAGAACTTTACAATACAAATAAGGTCAATTAATTATAGCTATTTACCAAATTTAGTGTGTTACTTTTCCCTACTCTTCCATATCTTGTTTATAAATGACAAAATGACAAATGACAAAAACTAGTGTCTGCTTGTATGTGTCAGGTATAGACCCATATATTTGTCTCCAGCATTAGCATGAAGCACAGTGCTTGGAATCAGGAAGGTTCATCTTCATGAGTTCAAATCTGGCCTCTGATACTTACCAGCTTAGCTATGTGACCCTGAGTAAGTCACTTAACCCTGCTAAGTGTTAAGCCAGACATGACTGAATAACAACAACAAAACCTCCTTGAAAACAGGGACTGTTTCACTATTGTCTTTCTATCCCCAGCACTTGGCAGTATCTGGCAAAAATAGTAAGCATTTAATAAACACTCAGTGATTAATGAAATTCTCCATCCAACATTACTTCTGCTCTTACCCCAGGTATCTTCCCTTCACATAAGCCAGGTGTAAAGAAATGAAATTTTAAACTTACCCATAAATCCTCCGCTGGCAATGCTGACATATTCTTTGTTTTTCTGTCATGGGAAAAAATATTAAATTATTTTTAAATTTCCTAATATTCAAAATGCTAACGATGCTGTTTACAACTTACATTTCTAGAAACATGTATCCAGCATTTTTGTTGTTCCCTTTTTAAAAAGAATCTAAAAACAAGATCCATAGTGTTATGCATTAAACTGCCAGTTTCTTCTTGATATTCTCAACTTTTGCATGAAGGATTGGAAATCTGTCTTTTGAGTTCATTCTTTTTTTCCCCCCACTGAAAACTGTTAACTTCCAAATGGTTAAACAGTTCAATATAAAGGCTATGATTTAAAATACACCACAGAACCAAAAGGGAGAATAGAAACAACCAAAAAGAAATCGTTCCTCAGTGTTTTTTAAAAACCTTTCAAAATTCTTCTGAGGGCCATAATAAAATTATCTAATCTCCCCAAGTTTTTCTCATAGCTGAAGTATGACTAATACCAGATTTGCTGAATAGGAGTCAAGTCCTGGAAAGGAGAATAAATATAAGGAAGATGGCTTGGGGCCTTCATCTTAGTCGCTATGTGCATCTTGCTCCATCCAGTGTGTCTTTCTTCAAGTATGAATTCTGTCCTCTAATCACTTTTACATTTCTGTGAATCTGAGACCTCAGTAATGTAGCCACTTCCCCTCTCTACAGCAATGCACCCCTGAACCACATTCTGAGATGCTCTTCTATGTCTCCACTCATACCCTCCTGAGGATCTACCTGCAAGCTGCAAGACTTCCACTAGATCTTCAAAGGATCTCTTTTTTTAAATTGTAAACACAATGACTGTCAATAAAAACAACCAAATAAATACATGAACCAAGGAGTAAAAACTTAGTCCAAACTCTCACCCTTTAAGAAGAGAAAGTCAAGCTAATTAACAAACAACAAATAGGCAAGGAAAATACTTTGTTCTGTCAGCCTCAAAGCCTGCCTAGATTCTACCTCTGATTCTTTTTTCCTTTCTTTTTTTACCTAATTATATCCAGGGTAGATACAGTTAAATTGTTAAGAGACCATGGTGCTGCACAATCTAGAACTATAGTATATAGAATAATGCTGATAAAAAGAGGAATCTGAAGGTCAGAAATCACTGAAAATATTGCACAATTTCCAAAATGCAATTTAGCAGACTAAGTTTAGTCTGCTTTCTCTTCCTCTTATTTAATTCTCAACCAAACTTACTGTCAATCTGCAGTGACTATTCAACATAATAAAATAAACTCAATGGATTATTCTTCAAAATGCATGCCATAGTCTGAATAATAGAATTCTTCATTCATTTAGTTTTTCTCTGTAATGTTGTTAGTCCAATATCTTTAGAAAGGTCATTGACCTCATTGAAAAGTAACTCTGGATTTTGATGCAATAAACACGACATCAACCATACACACACACACACACACACACACATTTGCCAAAGTGGCTTGCAACTATCATGGAGGGGAGACACACACACAAGCGCGCGCACACACACACACACACACACACGCACGCACATACGCCAAAGGGGTTTGCAACTCTCATGGAAGATATCCTCCACAGAGCACAAAAAGGAACGTGGTTTCCAGTAAATGCTGAGTTCATCCAGATGTAGTTGTTTATGCTTGACATTGTGTGTGTGTGTGTGTGTGTGTGTGCATAGTTTCCTATATATACATTCTAGAAATAGCTTCCTTCCCCACTACCAATTCCATTTGTTTTCTCAGTTCTCACCCCTTCTGACAATTCTGACGCATGAGACAATGCTCTTCTCTCTCTGTTTTACGTTCTCTTCTAACACTGTCTTCTCCTGTCTAAACGCTCCACAGCCTCCTCCATGTTTTATCACGCTCTTTCCACTCCTCTTTTCTGCAGTCCTCGGCCTTCTTCTCTTGTCTCTACACCCTTTCCCCGTGGCCCTCATACATTATCATAATTTCAATGACAATTTAAAAACATGTATCTATAGAGAGTGTTCTCTCTCTGAGCTCCGGTCCTTTACTTCTACCTATCTGCTGTATAACTCCAACAAGCTATGCTAGCAGCGCGTCACATCCACCACGTCCAAAACTGATTTGCCCTCATTACCAATTCTGTTATTTCTCTCACTGGTAGTACATTTCCCAGCAACTTAGGCTTGGAGCTTCAGAGTTTTCCTTGACTCTTCCCTCTCCTCTCAATCTTCACATCCACTGAGGTGCCAAGTCTCAATGAATTTTAACCTTGTAAAATATTTCACATCTGTCCTCTCCTCACCACTAACAATGGCACCATACAGTTCAGGCCCTTCTCAACTCTCACTCAGACTCCTGTAGATAGTCTTCTGACTTATCTCGCTGCTACCAGATCTCCCCTCTCCATTACATCCTGCAAGCAGAAGACAACTTGATCTTCACAATGTACTCTTTTATTCAAGAACCCTCAGGGTTGCTCTACTGTCTACAGGAAAAAAAACAAACATTTTAGTTTTATATTTGAGACCCTCCACTGTCTGTTTCCACACAACCTTTCTGCGATTATTTCACAGCACTCTACTCCACACACATGACATTCAAATCGAATGAGATCACTAGTTGCTTTTGTACTTTGTCCACATATTCACCAAGACCATTCCCTAAATCTGGAATGCTTTCTCTTCACATCTCCTTTTGCCAAAATCTCTTTTCTTTAAGGCCCAGCTCAGGTGCTTTCATGAAGAATTCTATCCATGAGAGCCTCAGTGGAAAGGTATCCTTTCTTTCTAAATTTTTCTTTGGCTCTCTTATTTGTTCTTATCACATTCTACCTAATGTCATACTTATTTGTCTAAATCCAGTTAGAAGGAGAGCTAGTAGTGGGTGGGAACTGTGTGACTGTATAAGATTTGCTTTATCTAGATTTGTTTTCCTATTATCTCCTGAATTAGATTGTAAACTCCTGGAGGGCAGGAATTGTCATAGGCCTCTTTTTGTATTCCCAGCTTTGCATAGTGTCTGGATGCACTTAATAATGTTTATTATAAGCCTTTAAATGTTTATTGATTGCTAGATAGGACAGACTAGGTACTTAAGTGTTTTTCTTAAATTAAAAAAAAAAGTCTTCTAATTAATACCAGGAATTGAAATCTAATTAATACCAGGAAATGAAAAAAATGAGACGGCTTGTGCAACAGTATACCTCTTACCTCCCTAATTCAAAACCATACAAACGTTGATATCAAAGTTCTAGTTATCAAAAATCTAGTTATCAAAATTTCATTTGGTGCTTATGAAGTCAAATTTTCCAGCTAAATAAATGATGAGAGGACAATTTTTTGGGAATGCAGAGAAGAGCACAAACCATGCCACAAAATTCATAGGTCATCTGATTAATTTCAACCCACAATTTATTAAGCACCATGGACACATGATTAAGCCCTGAAGATAGAAAGCAAAAACAAAACTAGCCAGCTTCCAAAGTAGCACAATTAAACGCGAGATTTAGAGACGGAAGGGACCTTAGAGATCATCTGGTCCAACTTCTCATCTTGCTGATACAAAAAAGAGACCTATGACAATATTTAAATATAATGAAAAAGTGTCAAATCTCAAAAATATATAACCAATTTCACAATGACAATACTATAATGGAAATATTCCAAACTTTATCTATCATAATCAGAAAATGCCTAACAGGCCTGTTTATTTTTTTTACAGCATTAACTTTTTATTTTAGATCAATGGTCAAGAGAAAACACTTGCTCAGCTACAGTCATTTACACAAACATACCTGTAAAAAGTGTGCAAGGACCATGTTCATATACATGTCTTCTTCTTCCCTGCCACTTCCCATGAAACAGAGGTGCTCCCCTCCCGCAACTGAACCAGACTCAATAGATTGCTTCTGGGCTTCTAGCAAATATTTTACTGACTGTGCAAATTCTGATGGATTCTGAAGCATCTGAAGGGGAAAAAAAAGATAAATCTGGCCAACCTGATTTTTCATACTTCTTTCAAAAAATTTAGATCTATTTTATTATCACACAATGTTAGCATTTAAAGTCAGCAGGAAAAGGAAAGAAATAAAAGTCTTCATTTAATTTAAGAAATCCAATCTCTTAATCAGTTCTGATACAGACCAATAAATGTCAATGAAAGACATGAAGATGAATGGCAGCATATGGAAGGATATTATGAACATGTAAAGGCAGGCATAATAGCTACTACATAACAAAAGCAAAACATTTCTTTAGAAAATCCAGAGTTGACTACTGTAGGATTTCAGATAATAGCCAAAGATAGCCCAACTAAAAAGCATCATATTGGGGCAGCTAGGTGGCACAGTAGATAGAGCACTGGTCCTGAAGTCAGGAAGAGCTGAGTTCAAACCCGGCCTCAGACCAAACACTTGACACTTACTAGCTGTGTGACCTTGGGCAAGTCACTTAACCCCAATTGCCTAAAAATAAAAAAAAATTAAAAAAAAAAGCATCATATTTGTACTTTCTGAATGTGTGCTAACAACCAACCAAGTTCAAAACTGTAATTAAATATTTCTCAGTTACTATTTGAAATGAGTACTCATACTTAGATAGTTTAAAACTAACATTTTCAGAATTTCTTAATCAATTATATGAACTTTCCCCTAAGAGCATGTAATCTCTTCTAGTTGAAATAATGTGGTGGTACTTAATGACAACTTATGCTGCATTTCTAGAAATGCAGCAATAATTTAAAAATAATAATGAGGCTACATAGTCATTAACAATATGTCCTTACTTATGCACTATAAGGGAAAAAACAGTATTGTTCCTTACTTTGCTTATTTAAATCAGAGCTTATACTAACCAAATCTGAATCTAAGTGAAAAGCTGTTGATAAATGCCCGGCATTGTACTGTTCCGCAGGCCTGCAATCCACCACAAAGAATCGAACTCCTTCCTATGAGGAAAACAACATCTGGAATGTTAGAATTCTCAAAATTAAAAATTTCCACTGTGAGAGGCTCACATTCAGTGAACATTTGCAACTGATCAAAGCAAGATGGACTGATATGATGTGCTAATAAAAAACTGAATTGAGTATTATGAATACAATAGATTCAACCAAGGAAATACTTGAGATATCCCAAATAATTCTGAGATTTAACAACAAAAATGTCTTACGATGAATTTTTTTTATAATTTAAAAGCTTTAAAGATAAGGCAGTAATTGCCTACAGTACACTAGACATTAAGCAGAACATAAAATTTATTTCCCAAATGTGGAAAGAAAATCTTCTGAATTGACAATCTAAAATGAAGTTTGTGCAATGAATTATTTAATCTGGACTTAATGTCTTTAATTCTTACAAGAGAAAAATCAGATACTGGTACTCACTTTAATCCCAAACTACCAGTCGTGGTATTAAGAGGCAGCGTGGTGCAGTGGAATGAGAGCTGGATTTGGAGTCAGAGGACCAGGGTTCGAATCTTGGCTCTGCCATTTACTACCTGTGTAACCTTGGACAAGTCACTTGACCTTTCTGGGTCTTAGTTTCCTCATCTGTAAAATGAGGGGGTTGGACTAGATGGTCTCTAAGGTCCTTTCCAGTCCTAAACCTATGATCCTAAAATCCTTTGGGGGAAGGAAGGAACATTGTAGCATAGCAGTTTTCCATTCCCCTCCCCAACACTTTTTTCTGATTCCCTGAAAGAGCTTCTAACATGGCAAGACAGTGCTTATATTTGAAACACATGATTGACAAGGGCTGCTTTCTGGGGTTTTCACACTGATGAAAACAAGTTAAGAACTAGTGAATATTTTTCTCACAATTTTCCCTTCTTAGCACATATAGTCTTAAACTACAGTATAAAATTAGCTGAACCCTGGATCACAAATTAATACTAAATATCATATTTAATCTTTGATCTATAATATTAAACTTTTGAAGAAAGTTAGTGGCCAAAATTCCTTACATTTAAAAGGGTCATTTTTTTAGGGGGGGAAAATGTATTTCTTTTATTTACTGACCCCTTGCTGTTGATTTGCTTGAAGAATCTCTGATACTGAAATGGCCAGACAGAGAGCCTGACTTAGATCTGTGTCGTCATCCTTAATTCCCAGCAAAGGACTGCCAAATAAACTATGATTGTCCTGATTGGTAAGAGAGAAGTATTTTTTTAATTAGAAAGAAAAATCAAAGTCAGAGCTTTGTCCCTTTCCTAGAGACTTCTGAATAAACCAAAATCAAAAGACTTGATAAACTGTGTTCAGTGTTTTTTAAAACTCATTTTATGGAGCCTCAATGCACAAATCAACAAGAATATACAAAGCTTATACCTCACAACCACACAGCGCTCACAACTGCAAAGCCTAAACAAACAGCATACTATGTAAGATATGGAGTTCAACTGGTTTGCCTGGTAATGGTAAAATCAAAGCTGTTCTGCCAGAAATACCTCACAATCCAAAAAACAGATGCAAAGAGATAGTGTTACATACCTCTTTTCCTTTATGTTCTTCCTAAAGAAAAACTAAAACACCACAGCCCTTCAAGCAGGTTAGAATTCAAAATTCTTTAAAATTGATAAAACTTAAAACCACTTAATTTTTACTTCTACTATCACCAAAAATAAAATAGTGAAATGACTGCTTTATATTCCTCATAGGTTTCGGAAAATCAAAAAGAAGTATAAATTAGTTATATAAAATAACTAATATAATGATACTCTATTCTAACTCATAAATATGACATTCATCTAAAGCAGAGGTTCTTGCCTTGGGGTGTGGTAACTTGTTTTTTAATTTCATTTCAATATTATTGATTTCCTTTGTGATCCTTTGTATTTTATTTTACTTACTTAAATATATCATTCTGAGAACAGGTACATAGGCTTGTCCAGGCTGTCAAAGGGATCCACAACACAAAAAAGATTAAGTACTCTTGACCTAAAGTATTTAACCAACTATTCTGAAGGGTAGAAGGTGACATTAGGTTGTGGAGAGAAAAAAGGAAATAACCTTCCATAAAATTCTCCATAACCCAAAACAACTATGAAGCATACTTAAGGAACAAGGTATTTCATAATAAGTTTGTTTTTTGTTTTTCAGATTAAAAATATCCTTCAAACACAAAAATGCACTTTTATTATCAATATTTTAATGTTTTTAGGTGATAAAATTTTTATCTCACAGTTGTTTTTAAAATCATAAAGATAATATGTACTTCACATAAAAGCAGTAGCACAGCACTAATACAGTAGCAATGATTCATTTTAGAAAATGAATATGAATATACTTTCCCTCTCAAAGAAATTGCACCTGGTTGCAACCTTTGGGATTAGATTGCCTAGGTACGACTTACTATATTGATTAAGAGGTACTATATATTTCTCTGCTTTCTTAAAGGTAACAATAACTTAACCATTTCTTAAGAACTCCAGGCCATCATTATAAATGTCAGTCACTGTGCTGTGCTCTGACACAGAGGTGTCAAACTCGCAGTCCTCACTAGAACCATATTAAAATGTAATTGAGAAATGTTTAACAAAAAATGTAATACAACATAGATATTATTAATTTAAGTCAATATGCCTCGCCAGGGCTCCCTTTCTAAGAGTTTGACACCACTGCTCTAACGCTCTAACTCGCTGAGGTCCTTCTTTTCTCTTAGCAGCTAATGAGTGTAGCTTCTGCTCTCTACTCCCTCACTGTTATCTACTATTTTTCAGTGTTTCAGCTTCAAACAGATACATAACATACTTGCTACGTTTAATCTGCTATCTTGAGATTATATAAATTCTATTTCACACACAATTCTAAGCCTCACCTCCCACCCTAAGCTCCCTGAGTTTGTAATAGTTATGCTGCTAAAAGACCTTTTTCTCTTAAACTTACCTGTAGATTAATAACTATGTTCTGGACAGCTGAGGCTGCCAAAAAGCTGACCTTTGAATAAGATATTTTTCTCTCTCGTTCAACACATTTTTTTAAATCAAGTAGGCAATAGTTTGTGAAGTTATCACCAACTGATTTCCTCACAACCTGAAATAACTGCAGCATTCAAAAGCAAAGGTCAGGCAGAGCAAAGTGATGATGGATTACTGGTACTTGTCTACCTCCTGTCTTTTCCTTTGTTCTTCCACTCAGGAATACATACACATACATGCAAACACACACACACACACACACACAATCACATAACTTAGAAAATTCAAAAAGGGCAGGAAAAAAAATCTGGGGCATTATGAAAACTAAAGGAAATAAAAGACAAAATGAAGCAATTTGCACAGTGGAATGTTGTATGTATTCATTAACCTCTTGCTTAATACCTTTCTAAATGAAGCTGGAGTTTTACTGTAATAATATTGTGCCAGAGAAAAGAGATCTTCAATATCTTCTATATTCAAACTGGATGGAGTATTTTCCAAGAATTCTAAAATACATGAAGACCAAGAACACAACAGCATTTTAAAACTGTGCATTAAAGAATAAGACTTTGACTGTTGCAAGCTCTCAAGTAGAAATGTTTTAGGGAGTTTATAATACTTAATACTGTGAAAATAGTATTAATATTAATTACATGAATTATTTTTTCAATCAACTGCCCATTTGGGAGGCATGCTGAATTTCACTGAAGAGTTGATACTCATAATAAAGAAAGTAATTTTTGGTTATTTAATAATGCTTTTGTTACTTGGGTCTATTAATCTTCAAATGTCACACCCATTATATTTCATGGTTTCATGATTTGTAGGGAAAGGCTTTTCTTTTCTTCTCAATTACATGTAAAAATTTTTAACATTCATTTTTAAAAAATTTTGAGTTCCAAATTCTTTCCTCCTGTCCCTCTCTCTCCCCTCCTTGAGAAGGCAAGCAATTTGCTATAGATTATACATGTACAGTCATGCAAAACATATTCCCACATTTGCAAAAGAAAACAGACCAAAAAAACCCAAGAAAAATAAAAAAGTTAAAAAAAAAGTATGCTTTGATTTGCACTCAGACTCTATCAGTTCCTTCTGTGGAGGTAGATAACATTTTTCATCCTAAGCCTTTGGAATCGTCTTGAATCATTGTATTGCTGAGAATAATTTAGTCATTCTCAGTTGATCATCATACAATATTGCTGTTACTGTGTACAATGTTCTCCTGGTTCTGCTTAGTACATTTTGCATCAGTTCATATAATAAGTCTTCCCAGGATTTTTCTGAAACCACCCTACTCATCATTTCTTACAGAACAATAGTAACCCAATCACATACCAAAACATGTTCAGCCATTCCCCAAGTAATGGGTTTTCCCTCAATTTCCAGTTCTTTGCCTCCACAAAAAGAGCAGCTATAAATATTTTTGTACATATACATCCTTTTCCTTCTTCTTTGATCTCTTTGGAATACAAACTTAGTAGTGGTATTACTGGGTCAAAGGATATGCACAGTTTTATAGCCCTTTGGCATAGTTTCAAATTTCTCTCCAGAACAGTGGATCAGTTCACAACATGGGAAGGCAAAAAACTAGTAATCTGGGATTCTGTTCACGGAATCAATGAATGCTAGTATTGACTCCACCTAGTCCAAATCTCTAATTTTACAGGTTAGAAAAATAAGAAAATGAAATGGCCAGCATTTGTTTTCCTACATAAAATGATACTTACGAATAATTTCTTCTTTATTGTCAGATTCTTGTGCTAAAATAACATCTCTGTAACAGAGAAAAGGGATACAAATTACCAGTCAAAGTTAAACAAATGGTAATCAGGGAAAAAGAAAATGAAAAATGTAGCCATTTTTATACTCACTTTGTATTGACAAGGATTATTAACATTAAAAAATAAATAAAGAATGGATCTGCTTGCTGTAGGTATCCATCCCATATTGCCTGGGTCACTTCAATTGAACAGAAACATGAAAAAAGGCTTCCAAGCTGTAGTCAGGAAATATAGCAAGAGAAGCAAATATTAGAAATAACTAGAAGTAGAAACTTAAAACTGGTTCTGAAAGACTAATTAAGATGCCAATAAGAAATGTATAAATCACATGGAATAAAATCACCTACACTTAATATTTAGTGAATATAGTAAAATGAGTTTCAGAAATAAGAGCTGATCTTTAGAGAGTACAAAAATGATGCCAAAAAGTTAAATTTGATAGCATCATTGTAAAATGAATAGCATGACCACTTATGTTTACATATTTATCCATTGTAAAAAAACTTCACAGACTGAATCAGAGTAAATCTTTTTCTATTAGTTTTCACACATTTAAACAGAACACAAAAATACACCAACTTAAAGAGTTTTGTTTTTTAGAGTTAAATTGGGCTCTGGTGGTATCACTTCAGTGATAACTTAAGAATTCTCAATTTTTAATGAAAAGTCCATTGCCTACCCCCTAAACCTTATCTGTTTAATTCTAAACATTTAAAAAAAATTAAAATATGCTTTCTAGTAGGACTTCATTCTTTTTAGAAGTTTTCTTTTTTAAAAGTACTATAACAAATAGACATTAAAGACATGTGGTCAATGCCTTCCTAGGTTGCTTTTTTTGTCAGCGGAAAATGGGAACGAAAATAGTGGCAGAATTTTGCTATTTTCAAACCTAGCCCGCACAGATCCTGTTTTTGTCATTATTATACCCTCAATACTAAGCTATCAAATTTTAATTTAACAAGTGCTCTACCAATGAGCACTAAACCTACGAGGACTGAATCTTCCTGTTACCATGTCAAAAAGTTAGTGTTCTGGTGGTAGAAAGTCTCCATTATGCAAACAGAATAATCTAATAATATATTAAGATGGTTCAAAAGGTTCAGTTCACCTTTTTTTTTAAAGTGGAATGCAAGTGAGAATGGCTAGAGTTATATTGCTTTGCATTCCCCTATTTGGCTTATTATGATAAATAATCAAATGATTAAAAAAATAAACTTCAAAAAAGCTATTACTCTTTTATTTTTAATGTTTTCATTTTAAAGCAAGATGGTAAGTGGAAAACCAAAGAGAATATTTAGTTTAACACTTCTAAGATCAATACTAGTTAATATCTACACATTTATTTTATGTCATTAAAATTAAGAAAGCATTAGAGAAAGTCATCAGAAATGCCAAAAACATTGATGTACTTTCATCACTCAATTGTGGGCCTAACCTGGTCCTGCACACTTGCAAAAAAAAATCCAACCACAGTATGACACATATAGAGCACAGGTCATTATGAATAAGATTTTAAGAGAAAAAAAATATATATATATATATACATACACATATATATATGCACACATATATTTGTGTGGGTACACATATATATGGACTACAGAAATGTCACAACACACAGTCTTCAAGATCAGGATGCTAATGAATGCTAAATTCTTGCTAATATAAAGATATTAACAAATAGAAGTCTCTAAAGAAAAGTTAGGGAAACAGGTCTGCTTCATTAATGTTTTCTTTCAATGTCCAACTATCATTTTAGTTTAGGGGACTGAAGCATGAAAATAAGGTTGAAAATTTCAATTGTGCATTTTAAGAGTTAACACTGAAAAATAAACCTCATATTCAAAATCTCTGAAAAAGATGATTAAATATAAAACATGAAGACAAAGAGAAGCAGAGGTATTTAACTACTTTAAGTCCCTGAAGTCAGTTTCCTAATAGATGAAATACTGACCTCAAATGTTTTCATACATGACATCAACTACTTTATTAGACACTGAAAAACCTTTTAATAAGTCCCATTTACAAATAACAAATATGTTAAACTTCATACCAAAATATTCTGGAAAAAGTAGAGTAACAAAAGTTATTCTGGAACACCAATAATTCTAACCCATTAGTATAAGTAGTACTGTTCTATAATTTAATACTTTTCTTCCTTAAATAATTATATTATATATTTATAGATAAATCTATTTTTCATTAAGTGTCCCTACTTTCACTTTATTACCCAGTTGAGTGCATAGGAGTCTGGAGTCATCTTCTTTGTATCAAGAAAGGAACACAGTTCAGGTTCATGATACTGGATAAGCAATCGAAAGAGATGAAATGGTCTCCCCTTCAGAAAACAGTCCCTAGAAAGCAAGAGAGGCAAAGTTTTCATTAAGTGCACTGCACTGATACTGCATGAGTTATTAAAACAGTGACCCTTTCCTGCTGTCTTCTTCTAACTCAAGGGAGCTAAAAATCTTATAAGAAGTGAAAAGTTCCAAGATTATGAGTATGGCAAACCAGCATTACCAAGTGTGACAATATATCCAGAAACACAAGGTTGACTCTGGTTCTGGGGCCAAGTATCAAGACTAAGGAAGTCTCAGATCTATAGTAAGTCACTCATTGTGGGGGTCTGGATAAGTTTTAACCTAGAGGAGAAGCCTGGGATAGGAGGTAATAGGACCTCTTATGTTCAAATCAGCTTGGAGAGGTTGCGGGGAGGAGTGGAGAATCTGAAAGATGCTGGTTTGGCAGTTCCTCAGCACAAGTAGGGAGACAGTTAGGATTATTCTTATCCATTCACTTAAGAGAGTGCCCTCAGTCTTCAAGGCTGACACAATAGATCTATAGATCTAATGGTCATAAAGCAGTATGTATATCATAAGTTTTCCTTGTTATCAACCTGGTTTCTAAGTGGAACCGGCAGCCTGGGAAGCTCTGAAATTGGCCAGAACTGTTTAGAGGCAGATCAGGTAGTACCAGGAAGAAACCACATCAAAAGTGGAATATGCTAAAACCAAGACTAGTACTTTCTTGCTCCATGATAGACCAATGTGTAACTCAGGAATTCTGGAATCTCCTTGATATGAAAGAGGGTTGTTAACAAAAATAAAATGAGATGACAGATATAAAAGTACTGCTTAAAGTAAAAAGTATTGCATAAATTCAAGATAACTTTATTATTATTTCTTCTATTACTAAAGAAGATTCACTGAAATGTCTCATTTGCTGTCAAATTTCATTATGGATATAAGTTCCTTCCATATTTCCTCTCACCAAGTTAGGCAAGCTACAGCATTCAAGCCCTTCTGGCCCATTCAAGGAGCAATTCCTCCCTCCCAAAGGACTTTTAACTATCCATAGACCCATAACTATGTCAAGTCACCAAATATTTATTAAGCACTTACTATGTGCCAGACTCTGCTAGGCCACCACCACCATTTCAGTTACTGAAACCAACCCAAAATCAGAAGAACAGAATTTTCCCCAAATCTCTCCGTATCCAGGTATACTTAGTTGAAAGATAAATCCTTTCCAAATATTAATAAATTCTTCTATAAGGATTTATTAGAAGGCATCACTGTATTTATAATAACTCATCATTTACCAACACAGTACCTCATTTCATTAACTGACAAAAATTAACAAACGCATAGAAGTGTAAAATCCTCAAACAGGTTGCAGTAAAATACTTTGCCACATTAAAAGTCATCATTATAAATTAAGTCATCTCTTCCCAGTTTAACTGCTTAGCATGTTACTAAAGAAGCCAGAGTCAACTTCCATACAGGCCAACAACTTTACTCCATTGAATAGAACTCGAGAACAATGATAATTCTAGCCAACTGTCTAATATATGAATGTTAATGGTCACCAGGGGCCTAAATAAAAATGCATATAGATGGATCTGCAACTATCTATCACTAATGGAACAAGTTAAAAGCATATATCCTACTGACTAGATAAATAGAGGCATTTTCTTCTTCCTTTTTTTGGGGGGGGGCGCTAGGCAATGGGGTTAAGTGACTTGCCCGGGGCCACATAGTTAAGTGTCAAGTGTCTGAGGCTAGATCTCAACTCAGGTCCTCCTGACTCCAGGGCTAGTGCTCTATCCACTGCATCACCTAGCTGCTCTGAGGCATTTTCATAAACAAAAGATATAAACATAAATTTTCATAAACCAAAGTACTAAGATTCAAAAAAAATCAATCTAAGAAATGCTTCAGCTCAGAATGTTCCTAGTCCCACTTTAGGGAAGTAAAAACAGTGATGACTGCAGTGATCAGCAATGGGGGACAGTGCTACTAAAGCTATTAAGATAAAAGAATAGGTCCCAGGGCAGCTAGGTGGTACAGTGGATAGAGCACTGGCCCTGGATTCAGGAGGACCTGAGTTCAAACCCAGCCTCAGACATATAACACTGTGTGTCTTTGTGTGACTCTGGGCAAGTCACTTAACCCCAATTGTCTCACCAAAAAAAAAAAAAAAAAGAAAAAAAAGGTCCTTAGTTGGGAGGAGGGGGGGAGAAACACCTTCAAACACCTGTGCTTACATTTAGGCATTTGTAGTATACGCAATTAAGTATTATTTTCATTTCTCCCATGAGAATTTCAAGTTCTCATCTGTGAAATAAATATGGCATTTACATTTGAAAAAACTGTCCATCTTGATGAAACAATGCCAATTCTGGGAAAGTTTTCATCATTAAAAAGTAAATAGGGGGCAGCTAGGTGGCGCAGTGGATAGAGCACTGGCTCTGAAGTCAGGAGGACGTGAGTTCAAATCTGGCCTCAGACCAAACATTTGACACGTACTAGCTGTGTGACCTTGGACAAGTCACTTAACCCCAAATGCCTTAAAAAAAAAAAAGTAAATAATCTGTAACTTCACATGAAATTGGATATAGCTACTGACCAAAAGAATTCTTTTAAAAGCCTAAATGCTTGCACTTTTATCTTACAACATTCTAAGGGAAACATGTAAGTTTATGGCAAAGCAGTACTAGAATTTTAAACTTTTAGCTAACATTCCAAAAATTTGTGAAATAATTCAGAGTTGAAAAAAGGTTTTTATTTAAGTGGTAGATAATAATTTTTTTGCTTAGTTAAGAAAAATAATGCACACATTTTTTTACCTGGGAATATACTTATTCATGATAGCATAAAAGCAGTTGTATAAATCGCTGCGTGTAAGATGAAGATTCACCAGCGGCTTAAGCAAATGAATCCAGCCGAGGGATGTGCTGTATTTGACATTCCGTGATTTGCAATAAAATGTAATTACAGATTCAACATTCAAGAGTAATGCATCAGTCTTTTCTTCTGGCACTGAAAGCTGATCTAGAAAATAAATGTCAAAACAATTGGTAAGTTAGCATTATAAAGTCAAAGGTATCAAAACTACTTGGTAATAGTTAAAAAACAGATAAGCAAGCAAGTGGCACAGACTGGATAAACAAAACTTCTAGGTAAATCAACAAAGTAGCCCACTGTTTGACAAAATAAAGAACATAAAATAATAGGTGGACCTCTAATTCAATAAGAACTGCTGGGAAAAAATGAAAAGAACTTAGGTAGAAAATAGGTTTTGACCAGCATTTTATGCCATATAACACCGTAAGTTCCAAATGGATAAGCAGTATAATTATAATAGACAATATCATGAAAAAAGAGATGGATAGATGGAGGTCCTCTTTATGACTAGAGCTAGGGGGAGTATTCTTTTTTATTTTTTAGGGAGAGTATTCTTAAACCAAAAAAGGGATAGAATATATTTTTTTAAAAAAAGATGAAACAGATAATTTTTATTATACAAAATTTGAAAGATTTTTTTTCCATTAAAAAAAAATAAACCAGGAGAAGAAAAGATTTGTTGACTGGGGGAAAAATGCTGTACCATTCATCTGATAAAAATCTGACACCTAAGATATACATGGAAGTGATATAACTTAATAACACTAAGAAACAATGATAACTGGCCAAAGGACACAAATAAAAAGTGCTGAAAAGAAGACATGTAACCTTACAAGCTAAAGGAAAAAGTTCTCCAAATAACTAATGATAAAAAAGCAAATTTAAAAAACTCTACAATATCACTTCACCCATTAAACTGTCAAAGATAATATGTCTTAGCTTAGCTCTTTCTCAGAAACACAGGGCCCAAGAATCTACAAATGGAAGGGATGTTTGAGATCATATAAAAACCCCCTCATTTTACAATAAATGAAAGTGAGGCCTACAGAGGTTAAATGATTTGTTCAAGGATCACCAATCTGGTCTCGCGCCAGAAACATGCCATCATGGCTGAGGCAGACTTGTACATCCAGGGCCACCATACAATGTACATCCATTCCCTGCTATCTACATGACACCCTTCCCCAAATACACCATGTTATCTGTAGAATTGTAAGCCAACAACAGCCTACTTCATGTGTGATGTAACTGAAGTATTAGGGGAGGAAGAACAAAAAGAAGACGCCCAAAATGAAGTGACAGCAAGTAGGTCAACTCAGGGGTGAAGCAAAAATGAAGTCATTACCAGCCACACTGAAGTCAAAATAGGCCTTTACAAGAGGCAAACTAATCATCAGTTATAACATTGTTGCTATAACACACACACTAATGGTAATCTAAGTGTCTTAGGATACAACTTATGGTAAATTGGAGACTTCTTGTATACGTGATCAAAACACAGCTTAAATTGTAACAAAAACAGGAGAGAGTAAAATTTGTGGGTACAGGAACACGAAGAACTGAGCATACAGTGTAAAAGGCAAATATTTTGTTTTTTCTCTCCCCAAAATCATTAAAGATTCTGCAACTTGATTCAATTTTTTTCACCTACAATCTCTATTGAAAAAAGGGTCATTTGCAACTTTGAATAACTATCAAATTGTAACCAGAGACCTCCTAAGGGTCAGGTCTCCAGCAATATTTTTAATAATTTCAAGATTTTATATGGACAGCTTGAAAACAATTCTCACACTGACCAATTAGTTCCTGGCAATCCTTGTGTATTGTAGTCTGTTCTGGTAGATCCAAATTACCATCCCAAGATGCTAAACTGTCACCTTTCCCTGCAACATTTAAAGCAATCTGGAAGAGAAAAAAAAAATCAAATCCAACAATTTCAGGTATTATTTGTCATACTTCGAAAATACACTATATTTTCAAACTGAAAAGTTTGAATGCCAGAGAAACAGATCTATATTTTAAAACCCAAGAATTGGTAGATTTATATTTTACCAAATAACATAATGCCCTAGGAATTATTGTTCCTTGGGAAGTGGACTCTATTACCTGGTCATCTTTTAAGATCACTTAAGAATACAGTCTATATATGCTTGTTTATCAACCCCAAAATTTAGCACCTGAGAGTCTGACTTTTATTACCACCTGTATTAACCATTATTGGGAAAGCTATTTCAATATGCACATTTCTTTCCTTCACAAATTTCACAGAAATGGTACTTTGATAACAACTACAACATCCATAATAAAGAATATTCAAACATTTAATGAATATAAAGTCCACAGTAATGAAAATGAAACATTCTTCAGACATTAAGTTGTTTTTAAATTATATTTTCATTCCAACTTACCTTCCAAACTTTTGCCCTCAAATCAGCAGGCAGGGGTCTCCCTTGAATTATATTCCTCAAAGTTTCAAGATCACAACCTCCAGTTTCCAAAGCTTCTCCAAGATCTTTTTCCCTAGGGAAAAAAAATGTTCCTTCCAATTAAGAAAAAACTTTATTTCATAGAATCTGTTACCTGTTCAGGCTACAATAATACCCATAGGCTGGTAAAGAAACTTTTCTTGGTAAACTACTAGTGAGAAGTTTTGCTGCACCCACAAAAATCAGTTATCTAAAATACTGATTTATGGGTTCTGGATAGCTGAAGTTTTACAGTATATGGTATATACAAGATATACAGTATATATCTTCAACAGTTTAGATTCTACATCAATAAAAACAAGCCCATCCTTGAGTAACACATTTTGTAAATTTCAAATTTCAAGAAAAGTAAGGAATGGCATATTCCACTTGAGATCAAGAAACCAGTATCACTGCTAAGTCCTTTGTGGTGTTGAGAATATAATTTTCTTATTCTTATCAATGCCTTACTCTCATCAACAAAACAATGCTAGCTTGCCCTATCTTGTTACAGACTGTTCTGAAGATACTAAATGATTTCCCAATATGTTAACCTCTTTGGAGAGTGATTACTAAATGACTAAGCTATAATTCACAAAATTCTAATAAATCAACTTGGTACAATATTCAATACAGAATAAGTCAACAACTGTTACACAATTTTAAATGAACAAAAAGCTAAACACCCAGGACATATTATGGAGCATATATATACTTGTCATGCCTACAGCCAAAAATAGGGGAAGGAGAGGAAAAGGGAAGAGAAAGAAACGCATCAACTAAAAGCTTGCAGGATGTCAGTTTTGTGCTTATAGTTGCTTAAGAGCTGTACTCATTAAAAGTATGATCAAGGGTACACATATAAAGAAAAACAAATTAGAACTGAAACACCATCGGTGGACTTGGAAAATAGTACACATACTTCATATCACTTTAATAGCCACCATGCTAGAAACTGTGCCCCTCCCCACCCTCATCACTAATTCTAAATTCTAGGTAACCTCTACTATCCAATTCCTTCATTCTTGCAGCCTCCTAGGCTGCTGAGCATCACTGGAGAAAGTCACAAAATTGAATCCATTTCAAGTAGTATAAATTTATTATAAGAAAACCTTGGGTTGGCCCTCAGTGCTACCTGGCAATCTTTCTCTACTCTTATTGACTCCCCATTTTATTCTGCACAGTAATTACTACAAAATCTTATCCTCTTTCCTCAAGTCCCCAACCCTATTCCCACAACAGATAGTATTGACTCTTACTTCACAAAGAAGACTGAGGTTATCTGACAAGAACTTTCTCAACTTCCTTCCTTAAACAAAACCTTTCAGAGCCTTACACGAGCTGATGCTGAGTGAAGTGAGCAGAACCAAGAGAACACTGTACACAGTAACAGCAACATTGTGTGATGACCAACTTTGATAGACTTAGCTCTTCTCAGCAATACAATGATATAAGACAATTCTAAAAGACTCTCGACGGAAAATGCTATCCACAACCAGAGAAAAAAAAACTATGGAGTCTGAATACAGATCAAACCATACTATTTTCTCTGTCTTTTTTGTTCCTTTCTCTTGGTTTTTCCCTTTTGTTCGATTGTACATATATAGCCTATATCAGATTGCATGCTGTCTTGGGGAGGGGGGGTGGGAGAAAAAAATTTGAATCTCAAAATCTTATAAAAGTGAATGTTGAAAACTATCTTTACATGCAATTGGAAAAAATAAAATACTATGAAGTGGGGAGAAAAAACATTTCAGCTTCACTCCCAATTGTCTTCTCCTTATTTCTTGTCTTGGCTAAAAATCAACCTACCTGTGCCCTACATTCTATTTCCTCAGTCAGGACCTTGTTCAAGGAAATCATCCCACTTGCCTCAAGTATCTCTAAGCACCCCCTCTTCACTGGTTCATTCTCATCTTCCTATAAACAAACTCTCAACCTATCCAATTCTAAAAAGCACTTTCTCCTCAACCCTTCTACTCCATCCAATTACTGCCCTTTCCCCTGCCATTCCCTGATACACTTCTTTTAAATCTCAGTGTCTCAAATTCCTCACAATATACTAATTAGATTTCTTCAAACCCTTGTAACCTCTTCCTTTAGGACTAAGTAACTCTGCAATCTGGTTTTCCTCTCCATGTTTCTAATGAAATTGGCTTTTCTCAAAGGTTAACAATTACCTCCTTACTCCTTAATCACATGGTTTTTTTTCATCCTCTTTGACCTCTCTCCAGCATTTAACACTACTGATGTTTAACACTTCTAGACACAATCTCTTTCCTTATTTTCTGATACCACATTTCCCTGGTTCTTTCAACCTCTTTAACCCATTTCTCTGCTTCACTCTTCTCCTCTGGAGCCCCTAAAACAGATTCCAAAGATTCTGTCTGCCAATCTCTTCTCTTTACGTATAAATAACCTCTTCACATTCGCTCCCACATCTTTAATAACCACCTCTATCAAGACAATGTCCATTTCTCAGTCTTCACCCTCCTTGACTTCTCTTCAGCATCTGACACTGACTCTCTTCTCTTAGGGTTTTCCTAAGACTGATCTCTCTTGCTTCTCCTCCCACCTACCTGACTCCTTCCTCTCACTCTCTTTTGCTGCTTCTTGATCACACCACAACCATTAACTGTGAGTGTTAGGAAAAATCAAGAAAAATAAAGAAAGTAAAGAAAAGTATGCTTCAATCTGCACTCAGACTCAATCAGTTCTCTGGACATGGACAGCATTTTTAATAAGTCCTTCAGAATTGTCTTTGATCACTGTATTGCTGAGAATAGCTAAGTCATTTAGAGTTTTATCACCATACTGTTACTGTATACAATGTTCTGATTCTGCTCATTTCATTTTGCATCAGTTCATGTAAGTCTTTCTAGGTTTTTCTGAGAACAGCCTACTCATCATTTCTTATAGCACAACAGTATTCCTCACAATCATATACCACAACTTGTTCAGATATTTTCCAATTGATGGGCATCTCCTCAATTTCTAATTTTTTGCAACCACTAAAAGAGCTGCTATATTTTTGTATATAAAAGTCCTTTTCCTTTTTTATCTCTTTTGGGATATAGACCTATTGCTTGGTCAAAAGATATATATATATATATATATATATATAGTTTTATAACCCTTTGGGCATAGTTCCAAATTGTTCTACAGAACGGTTTAATCAGTATACAATTTCACCAACAGTGCACTACTGTCTCAATATTCCTTTATCCCCTCCAACATTTGTTATTTTCCTTTTCTGTCATATTAGCCAATCTGATAATCATGAGGTAGTACCTTAAAACTGTTTTAATTTGCATTTCTCTAATCAATAGTGATTTAGAGCATTTTTTCACATGACTATGGATAGCTTTGATTACTTTGTTTGAAAATTGCCCGTTCATATCCTTTGACCATTTATCAATGATGGAATGGCTCTTTATTTCTATAAATTTGACTCAGTTTTCTATATATTTGAGGTCCTTATCAGAGAAACTTGATATAAAAGTTTTTTTCACAATTACTATGTATTTCCCTCCATCCTAGTTCCCCCGGTTTATCCTTTTCTCTCTCTCTCTCTCTCTCTCTCTCTCTCTCCCTCTCTCTCTCTCTCCTTTTATGCTGTCCATTCTCAAATGTTTTACTTCTAACTTTTACCTCCCTCAATCTGCCTTCTCTTCTATCAGTCCCCCACTCCCATCCCTTTCACCTTCTGCTTTCCTGTAAGGTAAGACAGACTTCTATACCCAACTGAATCTGTATGTTATTCCCTTTTTGAGCAAATTCCAACAAAAGGTTCACATGCTCTCTCCAACCCCCCCCTCTTCCCATCCGCTATAAAAGCTTTCATGCCTCTTTCATGTCAGATAATTTACCCCATTCTATTTCTCCCTTTCTCAAAACTTCTCCCAGTCCATTTCTCCTTCTCAGACCTTAATTTTATTTTTTTTAAAATAATTATCCCATTATATTCAAATCACACCCATGTCCACTGTCTATGTGTACCTCTTCTAACTGTCCTAATAATGACAAAGTTTTTAGGAGTTATAAGTCTCATTTTCCCATACAGGAATGTAAACAGTTTAACCTTAGTAAATCCCCTGTGATTTCTCTTTCCTGTTTACCTTTTTATGCTTCTCTTGAGTCTTGTATCTGAAAGTCAAATTTTCTATTCAGCTCTGGTCTTTTCATCTAGAATGCTTGAAAGTTTTCTATCTCACTGAACGCCCATTTTCCCCCCTTAAGGATTATACTCAGTTTTCTTTCTGGGCAGGTGATTCTTGGTTGTAATTCTTTGTCTTCTGGAATATCATATTCCAAGCCCTCCAATCCTTTAATGTAGAAACTGTTAAATCTTGTGTTATCTTGACTGTGTTCCATCACATTTCTTTTTTGGCTGCTTGCAATATTTTTTCCTTAACCTAGGAGCTCTGGAATTTGACTATAATATTCCCGGGAGTTTTCATTTTGGGATGTCTTTCAGGAGGTGATAGGTGGGTTCTTTCAATGTCTATTTTACCCTCTGGTTCTAGAATATCAAGCAGTTCTCTTTGAAAATTCCTTGAAATATGATGTCTAGGCTCTTTTTTTTTTTTTAAAGTGTGGCATTCAGGTAGTCCAATAATCTTAAATTATCTCTCCTGGATCTACTTTCCAGGTCAGTTGTTTTTCCAATGAAATATTTCATATTTTCTTCCACTTCTTTTCATTCTTTTGATTTTGTTTGAATGATTCTTGATGTCTAATGGAGTCATTAGCTTTCACTTCCCCAATTCAAATTTTTGAGAAATTCTCTTCTTCAGTGAGCTTATGTATCTCCTCTTCCATTTGGCCAATTCAATTTTTCAAGGAATTCTCTTCCTTAGATTTTTGTCTCTCTTTTACCAGGCCTATTCTGTTTTTTAAGGTGTTATTTTCTTCACTATTTTTTGGTGCCTCCTTTACCAAGCTGTTGACTCTTTTTTCATGATTTTCTTGAATCACTGTCATTCCTCTTCCCAATCTTTCCTCTACCTCTCTTACTTGATTTTTAAAATCCTTTTTGAGTTCATCCATGGCCTG